AAAATAACTCATAACATGACAATAATTGGCACGACTAAGGCTTCTCGCACATAACATGCATGCATGCTACTAACGGGAAAATAGAGCTAAATAAACATGATAGGCTCGGTCAACAACCGTCGGGAAGTTACCTCTTATAAAGCTCAAGAGGTTTTACTTCTCGAACTCTCGTGCTTGGCCGTTGAGGAACCCCGCGTGCGTGCGTGCGTTGCCTCGGACTAGCGTGCGCCTGGATGCCGTGCGGTGTGCTGACTGCTTGCCGTGCGAGTAATATAGGCTAAGATGCTTTGCTGAATTTTTTCTAAGTGTTGGGAAAAATGCTTGAACTTAGCATGCAAAGAGGATGAAAAGGAACATTTCCACTATCACCTCATAAACATATAAAACCGAAGGGAGAGGCTATGGAGGAACATATGGTCAATGGCTAAGGACACTTAGCACCCATGCAACAAAAAAGCTTAAGACACATGGCACAACATGCTAGTCTTTCTTGGTCCTCAAAGTCACGTGAATTGGTACATGAAGAAAAAGGTTGGACAAAAACAAATATCCACTAACTAGCTCCACATGATGTTGCACGGCACTTAGCATGACTAGGAATAAAAAAAATTTCTCCACTACTATGCATGGCATTAGAGGACACAAGAGAAAGGAATCCTTGGAACAAGACACTAGCAAAAGGACAAAGGAGTAAGGAATCTTTTGGATCAAATTACTAACACACACACACATGGAGCACACGGCCAAAATGTCAAGCACTAAGTACAATGCTAGTTGATGCCAAAGTGACATGCACTAAGCTCCATGATTAAGTGGGAAATGCACTCATGAATTTAATAATACTTGTACACAAAACTACAAAAGATGCACGACATTTGCATGGCTAGTAGGAAGGAATCTTATGGACTAATTTCTCTAGTATTTGCCATTTAACTCACGGCAATAGAGGAATGAGATTAGGAAGGTCCGAACGGTTTAAAATACATGATATTATGATTAAATAATAATTAACCACTTAATTATGTTTAATTATCTAATTAAACATAATGCTTAGTTACCAAAATTATTCCGAACGTAAATAGTACGTCAAAAATAATTTCTGGTAATTTCGACTGAAATAACTGAAAATAATTAATTCCGAATAATAATATCGAAACTAAAAATATAATTTATACTGATAAAAAGTCGGGATATTACAACTCACTCCCTTTAAC